ATTGGAGGGGTGACACCAAAATGACTGGCAGTAATTCTGGTGTCACCCCTTCGAAAAGTTGCACGAGAGAAGAGGGGACCCAGCGGCACACCTTATCCCGCCGGGTGAACGTCTCCTCCTCTCTTTGCCAGCGTCCATCACCAAGATGGCCACCAGCAGATATCACCAAGATGGCAGTGCATGCACGTGATGTCATTGCGCATGTGCGTGATGATGTTGTGTGCATGTGCGATACCATCACGGCGGGCTGTCACTTGATACCCGCTCCGGGTGACACCCGGCCTCGGGACCTCCATGACTAGGAGGACTCTTTGAGAAAACACAGGAAGTGTGCAGTAGACACAGGGCAGCTCTTCATTTCTGACAAGAGCAAGAGGTTTTTAGCACTTATCAAATAAATATAACAAAATTATTCCAATTGTATATTAAACAAACCAAAAGGGTACAATTAAAAGTTCATTGTTAGGCTTTACATACATTTTGAAGAACTCCAAAAATTTTTAAAACTTACCCTTGCAGTGGGGCTACTTCTGCACAGTGCACTGCAAGGGTTAAGTGTTTGCTTGGTCTGGGGGAGTTAAAAAAAAACCAGATATACTTACCTGATCCTTGGTCCTGCTGGCCTGCTAGACCACTCCTCACAGCCTCTTCTCTCCTGGACTCCGGCAGGTCCACTGACCTGCAATAGACATGAGGACTATGAGGGACATTCCACAGCCACAGTGAAGGGTGAAAAGGTGAGCACTGACCGAGCATTTGACTCCTCTAAAAATAAACAAGCACTCCAGGAATTTTAAAAACATACCCTTGCAGTGGAGCATTCTTTAAAAAAATAGAGAAGTATTTGCATTAAAGTATAGGCTTGATAGGAAGTATAGGTTTGATAAGAAGGTCTACCGTTGAAAGGTTATCAAATAAAGATATCTTTTTGCAATACCTGTGTAAGCAAGGGCTGAGTGTTCCCTTTTTATGTTCACCATGTATATACTGTATTTGCTGATGGGTCAAGAGCTATACATTTGGGTGGTCCAGGTACTCTTCAGTACCGGGTCGATCAGGACAATGTCCCACCTTTTGTAGCTCTCAATCAGATTTCTAATTGACTTTGGCCAGAATAAGGCCTCATTCACACACAACGCAAGCAAAATTGTATATTGCGTATATACGCGTCTATGCGCCTATATACGAGTGTCTATGCTTGCACTATATGCAATCCCAGAATGCATTACTCGTAATGGAATTTTCAATGTGCTGTACGCATGTACGTGCGTATATGCGCGTAAACACGCGTATGTGCGCGGAAATACGCTGCTCGGACGCATCTCTGTTCCATTCTGTTTTTGCGCATATATACGCTACGCAAATATACGGCTCCATACGCGGCTATGTGTATGGAGCCATTTATTTGCATATGTTGCATATGGTACAATACGCACGTAGGCGCGTATACGCGCAGCAGTGTGAATGAGGCCTAAAAGGATAAGTGCGCATTTACTACATGTATCTTTCTCTATCCCCTTTCCGCTTCCCTGCATTTTGATCAAAGGATATACTTTTCTACAACATCGCTGTTCCCAGGATCTTTTGTTTTGCAGACTTCCCACCACTGCGCAGCCTCTTTCTGAGACTGTCATGTGCTCCACAGCCTCTGTTTATTTCCATAGGAGGCCCACCTATTCCACCATGCAGGCCGCACAATAAAGATCCTGGAAACAGCAATGTTGTAGGTAAATATGTCCTATGGTAAAAAGGCTGGGAGGGTTTAGAAAAGGATAATACTTACACACAATTTGAATGAACCTTTTCTCTTTGCCCACAGAGGGCAAAGCAAATGGTTCACTGTAATGCAGCATTCCCCAATAGCATATGCTTACCCTTCTTTCACTGCTCTGCCACTCTGTTCAACCAACTGCAGCAAAACTGTAAGCAACAAGGCACTAGACCTGTAGCTTTTACAGGGCTTTGGACTCCCTCCGTGAGAGTGCTAATTGGCTCAGCACTGCCACATAGAGTGAGTCATATGCTCCTCCATTTCTAGAGGTATGTTCTTTGGCTTCCAACAGTAAATGAATGCTGAGAATATATTGGGGATAGATGGGGGATTCACCAAACCTGTACCGTTCCCCTAAATGGGCAAAGCACTTGAGTTCCTGAATATGCACACCTACTGTGGGCATTATGTGGAGGATCTGCTCTACCTTTCAGAACTTTCATTATATATTATGAAGAATGAACAGTAGGTGCTGAAACATGCTAAGCTGGGTAGAAACAAGCAAATTCCCATGTATACAGGAGTTGTAGTTATGGTAAGGAGATCTTAAGCTTGGAGTATCCAAAACTTATAAGAATCCAGAGGCTGACTCGGCCAACCAGGACTCATCTATGACTAACATATCACATATTGGAGACTGACTTTTTCAGGGTGCCTGAATATTCATATTTATGACTATGGAATATAAAGGAGAGTACAGCCAGAGATTTGCAGCTTCAAATAATCTTGAGAGATACAAAAATAATCAGGCATATCTACTTCGATTGATCTTTCCCACCAAGACCAGTCTGCTGGGTTGTCTGCTTGTGACTATAGACATAAGATTGTTAACTGATACAGAGGAAACAGGCGGGACTGAGTGATGATCACTATTTTTATGACCAACAAGAATATACTGTATATCAGAATGTTTGTTCCTGTATCTTCGACATTAATCCAATTATAGTGTACTGACAGATAAATTCAACATTGTTTTTAGTACCTCAACCATAACAACTACATTATGATTCTATTGTAAGTACATGCGTATAACACGTTACAAATTACCCATAGGTGGTTTTGCCAGTACTAGTTTTGGTTGTTGTTTTCTATTCACCTGCAAGAATATAATTCTTCCAGTCTTATCAAAGGTGGACAAGATTTTAAATTAATTTTAAAATGAAAATAATTTCTCATACAGTTGGGCTCTTATAGAGGATCTTATTAAGATTATAAACTCATTGAAACCAATTATTAATATTCCCCTCCGCTGTAATGAATACAATGAGATTTGGCTGTAATCTGTCCTGGATAACATTAAAATCAGCCCCCTTATTAACAAACACCCATGGATAGAAATAAATAAAGATTTTAAATGTATGATTTACCTTAGCCAGTATGTTCTTAGCCCAGCCCTTTTACAGAATCTGTCGCAAAGTAAATGCTGATTGCTAAAGAGATGATGTCATAGCTTCATCCATAGTAACAAGCAATAATAGCTGATCAGATGCTCTGCACTTTATGTACATTTATTTAACACCTTTCAACACAGGTTTCTACTTGCATAAAGCCAATTAGTCTTTGAGCCTAGCCACCACCAACAATCATTGGGTCAGAGGGGGTTGTTGTCAAATGTGCACATATTTGCATGCTGCCACTGAGCAAGCCTATGGTCCGTCTCCACATCAACTATACTATTTGTTTAACTTTTTTGTAAGAGAAGATTTGCTGACTTTGTTCTAATGATGCTAGTTGCCTGGCTGATATGTTAGCCCTCTGAC